CCGGTCAGTGCATATGCCCAGGTTGTGGGCTCCATCCCCAGTGGGGGACATGCAGGAGGCAGCCGATCAGTGATTCCCTCTCATCATTGTTGTTTCTCTCTCTCCCTTTCTCTCTGAAATAAATAAAAGCATATTTTTTAAAAAGTGCCTTCAACCAAAACCAGTTTGGCTCAGTGGATAGAGTGTCAGCCTGCGGACTGAAGGGTCTCAGGTTCAATTCCGGTTAGGGGCACGTGCCTTGCTTGCACCAGTGGGGCATGTGCAGGAGGCAGCTGATCAATGATTCTCTCTTGTTGATGTTTCTATCTCTTTATCCCTCTCTCTTTCTCTCTGTAAAAAATCAATAAAATATATATATTAAAAAAAAAAAAGTGCCTTCGGTGCATGGTGCAGTGATTTCTGCATGCACTCTCTTCAGGATACAGTGACTCTTGTAGGCTCTTCTTGGAAGGTTCAATGTCTACTATATGCCCTCCCTATAAGGCGCAGTACCTACTGTTTACATTCCCTAAACAGCAAGGTGTGTCTGATGTATGATACAGTACTTGCTGCATACATTCCCTACAGAGCATAATGCCTGCTGTATTGCTCCATGCAGGACATAGTGCCTGTTGTATGCATTTTTTGCAGGGTGCAATGCCTGCTGTATACACCCTGCATAGCACCATAGCATGATGGCTGAGGCTTGGGTAATGAGGCATCTCTGAGTGGGATACAATTGTCCACTTTGTGGAGTCCCTTGGCCAAGCTTTCTTTCTTTCTTTCTTTTTTTCTTTCTTTTTAATATATCTCTATTGATTTCAGAGAGGGAGAGGGAAAGAGAGATAAAAACATCAATGATGAGAGAGAATCATTGATTGGTCGCCTCCTGCATGTCCCCTACTGGGGATCAAGCCCACAACCCAGGCATTCCCTTGATTGTAATCAAACCTGAGACCCTTCAGCCCTCAGGCTGACGCTCTATCCACTGAGCCAAACCAGCTAGGGGTCTTTCTTTTTTTAAATGTATCTTTGTTGATTAATATATTTTTATTGATTTCAGAGAGGAAGGGAGAGACAGAAACACCAATGATGAGAGATAATCAGCTGCCTCCTGCATGCCTCCCATTGGGGGTGGAGCCCAAAACCTGGGCATGTGCTCTGATTAGGAATTGAACCGTGATCTCCTGGTACATAGGATACTCAACCACTGAGCCTCACTAGCTAGGCCTGATTTATTTCTGATGACTCTCAGGCCCCAGTGCATAGTGTGATACATAATCAGTGCTCAGAAGGAAGTGCCTGCTTTTGCTGTCCCCTCCCTGTTCTGCCATCCTCTCTCAGCCTTGTCCAACCACACTTAACTTCATCAAGGTCACAATTGCCTCCATCAATGCCAATTCGTTGATCCACATCTTCATTTTGCCCACAAAAGCTCTACCTTTTTTCTCCCAGAAGCCCTGTGTGACCTCTGGGACCCCACACCCACCTGTTCGCCACCCCCTGCCCCTTTCTGTCCTGTGACCTCATCCATGACACTAAACGTCCTCCTGTGCTGAGGACACCCACTTGTTCACCTCCTCCCAACAACATGACCTCTGGATTCCCAGCCTCTTCCTGGTGACTCACAGGCATCTCACTGCAGAGCCATTCAGAAGTGACCACTGGACTCACTCTCCCCCCTCAGGACATGGCCACCGCCCTCACTAGCCACTCAGGCCAAGCGTCAAACCTTCCCCATGGGATCCATCAGCAACTCTTGCAGACACCACTCCCAAACAGCTGGGAGCCACCCTGCTCTCACCCCCACGACACCCTGGCTCAGCCCCTGCCCAGAACAACCACTGCTGCCTCTCACCACTTTCCTGCCCACCCCTTTCCCCCCATGGCAGCCAGAGGTAGATTTTCCAAAGCTAGACTGCTCTCCCACCTCCCAAAGCTCCTTTCCTGCCTCTGACCTCATCCCTTCCCCCACTCAGGCCACTTGCCCCACCCACTCCACCTCCCAACTTTATTCTCGTCGCCTGGACTCCAGGCCTTTGCACTGGATGTGCCCTCTGCCTGGGCTGCCCTTCCCCCTGCCCCCTCCTGTGGCCTTCACCTCCTCAGCGAGGGCCTTCCTGACGCTCCCCACATCTGCAGTGGACCTGGGCTGTGTCCTCAGAGCACCTGATCTCAAGGTAAGGTGATACCTACCCAGGGGCTGCCTCCCTCACTAGCCTGACTAGCTGGGTGGTTCACCTGTGTGTTGGCACATAGTAGGTTCTCAATAAACGTTGAAGGACTACATGGCATTGGGTGGCTCTGTTTTGAGCTGCTTCAGGCAGGAGTGTGGACATGCAACCCCTCTCTCCCTGTGGTCAGGGCTGGGAGGCCCACGGTGGGCTTCCAGAAAGAGAAGACCCTCAAGCTGAGTCCGGCTGGAGCCTGGGGGCAGAGGAGCAGTCCCCCCATGGCCCCCTTGGCAACCCATTTCCTCGACCTACCCGTCACGTGGGTGACAGTGAGGAGCCGGGGGAGGGGCGGGCGGAGGACGCCTGTGGGCGGGGGCAGGAGAGGGTGCGGTGGTGGAGCCCCAGAATAACCCCGATCCGCGCAAAGAGCTGGATTCCAGCTGAAAGGGTGGGTCGCGGTGCCCCGCTTGCCCGAATGGGAAAGTTGAGATCGGAGAGGGTGAGGGTACGGCCACGCAGAATCGGGAACTCTGGACCCGGGTCTGGCTCCGAAGCCGCGGCTCACAGTGCGGGGGCCCGGCGGGGAGGCGGGAGGCGGGGTGGGGTTCGTCCTCCGGTGACAGCAGCGCCCGGAAATGCGCCGCCGGGAGTGGGCTCTCCGCCCCTCGCGCCCAACCCCTGGCGCTGAGCTCCTCGGCGCGCGGGGCCCTGCACTCGGGGTGGCCCGGACGCGCGGCGGGAGCCCCGGGATCGGAGCGCCAGCGGGCGGGCTGCCGAGCGGGCTGACCTTGGAGGACGGGCCGGGGAGCGGGGCAGGAGCCGTCGCGGGGACGCGATCCGCGCGTCGGGGGAGCGGAGGCAGGACCCGGGCTCGCGGAACCGGGCAGGGCGACCTCGGTGCGCACATTCCCCGGCCCTGAGCGCGGCGCCCGGAATAGCAGCCCCGGGGTCGGGGCGAGGACGGCCAGGAGCCTCGCGGCGCTCCCGCCCTGGGCTTCCCAAGGTCACCGGGACATGGACTCTCAGACACCAGACCGGAGTTCTGGGGAGCCCGGGCCCGCGCGGGGCAGTCCTCCGCCGCAGACCCGCGCGGCGGCGCTCCGCGGCCTCGGGAGGGCGCGCGGGGCCGCCGCCCGTCCGGACCCCGGGCTGGGCGCGCCCCGGGAGGCCGGGTGGAAGTGGCCGCCCTGGGGTCCCCCCGCTCCCCTCCGAGGGCCCCGCCGCTTCCGCTCATCCTGGAGCGGCCGGGAGAGCCGGGACGCACCGCCAGCGCTCTCCGTCGCCGGTAAGCCCCTCTTCCTACACCCCCCTCCTACCCCCCTGCACCCCGGCTGTCCCCGTCCGTGCCTCCTGGGTCTCGTGGAGGATGGGGGGGGGGGGGGGAAGAGGACGGTGAGGCACCCATCCGCAGGGTGGGAGAAAGCTCATCCCACTTCTTCCTGGGGAAACTGAGGCCCAGAGGCGTGGCTTGCCCTGAGATCACACCCTCAGTCAGGAGTTCAGCCAAAACTGGGTGTCAGTGTCCTTCTGCTCTTTGGGGAGGGGGCTCTTTATTTTCCATCGCCTAGATCCCCCCTCAGAGCTGAGCCAGGGAGGGGTTCAGAAGACCAACCCCCTCCCCTGTCTTTGCCCCCCCCCCCAACTTACTGCTTCCTGGGCCAGCCAGGGCCCTGGGTTCAGAAAGGGGCTCAGATGCCACAGGCAGGCATGGCTCTGGGGCCACCTCAGCACCAGACCCTTCGTGCCCCAAACGTCACAGCCAGGAGGACCTACAATACAGGGAAACTGAGGCCCAAGAGGGGCCATAGGTCCCATGAGGTCCAGCCTTCACCCACCCAGCGCCCAGGAGCGCGGGGCCGGAGGCTCGCGATTGCCCTGCGTGTTCTTTGGGCACCACTGCCCGCTGCGCTCCCTGGCTCTGCTCCAAGGACTCACCAGGTGGCCACTTGCCTCTTCCTTCCTCTGCCAATGCCATGGTCACGCGGAGGCTGTGGATGGCAACGGCTTTCTATTTCTCCTGACAGATGGGGAAACTGAGGCCTGGGGAGGCAGAGTTGCCAGCCCAGACCCCCCATCCCAGCGGACTCCCTATTTTCTGCACCATCCTCATCAGGGGCCCTTTTCCCTTCCCAGACCACCCTGGCCCTCCCTCCCGCACCCTCTGCTCCTGAGGCCGTGAGGAGCAGGCTGGCCCAGGGTCAGGCTATTCCTCTCTGCCCTCCCCACATGGGGATGCCCGCTGCCCCGGGTTTGGGATCGGGTGGAGCCCTGAAGGGACCTGGTCCCTGACCCAGCCCCCAGGGCCTGCTCCCTCTGCAAGCTCTCAGAGTCCTGGACTGACCCCAGCTGGTCCCCAGTGCACAATGGGGAAACTGAGATCTGGGGAAGCAGAGTGGCTGGCCACACAGGAAGGTAGAAGCAATGATAGTGGAGAAAGCAGTGAGGAAACTGACCCTGGAGACGCTTGTGCCCTTATCCTGGAATGATTTGTTCTGTCATCAGACACTGATTAAGCACCTACTGTGTGCATCATACGACAATAAACAACCAATAATAATAATAATTAACAATAATAATTTGAACTCTCCACCTGCATTCCAGACTCTGTGCCTCCCGTTTTTCTTACCTGATCTGAAGGACCTCTCAAAATTTTCCTGTGAGGGGGGCTGTATTATGAATACGCTTTTCAGATGTAAGAAGGGGCGGCTCAGGGAAGTTAAGTTACTGTCCCAAATCACACAGTCAGGGCAGAGCTGGCGTTCAGCCCCTGGCCTGCTCACACCTCCCCTGCAAAGACTCTCTCTGCTTCCCCAGACCCCACCCCCTCTGGAACCTCCTGCTCCTGCTATGGACCCTCCTGAACTGCGGTTTGGGGGCCAGTGCTCAGGTAAGGGGGGCCATGAGCCCAGGGGGCATTGGGCATGGAGATCCAGCAGCCATGTGGGGGTGGCCAGCCTCCCCTCCATGCTGACCATGCTTCTCTCTCCAAGTAGGGTCCAGGAGAGTGGACGCCATGGGGCTCCTGGAGCCACTGCTCCAGCTCCTGCGGGCAGGGGCTCTCTGTGCGAAGCCGGCGCTGCATCCGGTGAGCAGTGAGCACGAGGCCGGGCTCGGCTGAGCGGCTGCCAGGGGGTTCCTGACCCTTCCCTCCTGCCAGCCAGGCCCAGCCCCTCACCACACCCTTGACCTGCCCACACATGCTGTGCCTTTTAATCCTACGAATGCACCTGGAATGTGGGTAGGGTTGGGCTGGGGGGGGTGAGGGGGGAGCAGGCGGGCTCAGGGAGGGAGGTTGCTGGGAAACCTGACCACACTCTGGCCACCCTGCTCCTCATAGGCTTCCCAGTGAAGAGCTGTGCTGGGGGGACTCGCACGAGTACCGCCTCTGCCGGTTGCCAGTAAGTTCTGTCCAACTCCCAGACCCTGGGAGCCTGCCCGGAAACCCGGCTGCTTCCCCACTCATGCCCCCAAATGTGTTTGCCACCCTGCCAGCTTTTCTGGACTCCCATCTCTGTCCCCAGGACTGTCCCCCAGGAGCCGTGCCCTTCCGAGACCTCCAGTGTGCCCTCTACAATGGCCACCCTGTCCTGGGCCCCCAGAAAACTTACCAATGGGTGCCCTTCTATGGCGGTGAGTAGCCTGCCCTCCTGTTGGTCCAGAGGAAACAACTCAGAGCTGGCAGGGAGAGGGGGCTGCTAAGAAGGAAGGGGGACTTGGAGGGTTGAAAGGAGAAGCAGGCATTAGCACTTGGGCTTTGAAGGATATGTAGGAGTTGGTGAAGGGAAGGGGAAAGAGCTCGTGTGAGGTGTAAAGCAGAGGCAGGGGGAGGCCGGATCTATTCTGCACGGGGCTGAACACCAGACTGAGGATTTACTCAGGGGGAATCCAGAGGCCAGCAGTTCTCAAACTTATCTTGGTAACAGAAAATGTTGCCAGTGTTTAGCTGAAAATAGTGAGTTATATAACTGCGTGCTGGGGGCAGCATGCCTCCAGGTTTAAGGGAGACAGGCAGCTTCAGATGCCACGGAGAGGGCAGACACAGGTAAGAAAAGCCTAGAATGAAGAAAGTTCCATTTGTAAACCTCATCGTGTTTTTGTGTGTTTTCCCCCCCTTTGCCCTAAGAATTAGCCCACCAGGGTTAGCTGGGCTCTGTTCCAGGCTGGGTCAGCCAAGCTGAGGGAGATGGGAGGAGCAGGAATCAGAGCTATGAGCTGGAGTGATTGGATTGCTCATTGTGCCCTGCTGCCAAGCAGAAGGGGAAACTGAGTCCTGGGGGGTAAAGACACATGCTACGTGGAACACAGTCAGCATTGGACAAACACTTTTTAAAAATATATATATATTATTGATTTTTTACAGGGAGGAAGGGAGAGGGTTAGAAACATCGAACAGCTGCCTCCTGCACACCCCCTACTGGGGATGTGCTCACAACCAATGTACATGCCCTTGACCAGAATCGAATCTGGGACCCTTCAGTCCCCAGGCTGACGCTCTATCCACTGAGCCAAACCAGTTTCGGCTGGACAAACACTTTTTTATTGGGCACCTGCTGGGGGCAGCTCTGCTCAACGCTGAGCCTAGAATCATGTCTGGAAATGGTTATTTGAGTATTTGTGGAATGAATGAATGCATGCATGCATGCAGGCACAGGATATTTGCCTAGGAGAGTCAGAAAGCTGGAGGCAAAATGCTTAAGCCCAGTCCTGGCTCTGCTTCAACCTCCATGTGCGGTTTTGGCTGAGTCTCTGGGCCCCATCCGCCTAAGGGGTGGCTCTCTCTGGGAGGCTAGCAGGAAGGGAAGGGGCTGTAACTGGGATAGAAGACCCCTGGTCCACTCTGTCCTTTCACCCCAGCGCCCAACCAGTGCGACCTCAACTGCCTGGCCGTGGGACATGCCTTCTACCACAGCTTTGGCCGCGTCCTGGACGGTACTCCCTGCAGCTGGGGTAGCCAGGGACTCTGCGTGGCTGGCCGCTGCCTGGTAAAGTCTGCCAAGACCCGCCCAACCCAGCCCACCTCACCCCACCCCACCCCACCCCACTCCAGGCCGAATTCATTTAGTTTTAGGTCCCGCCCTCTCCTAGCCCCGCCCCTCCCACCGGGCCACGCCTCTCCATAAACTCCACTCCAAGGTTCCCTCCAGAGTCCGCCCTTCGCTCTCTAGACCCGCTAAGCCCCCATTCCTTTTGTTCCATTGCCCCTCCCTTTCCCACAGGCCTCCCACCTCTCCTTAGGCCTCACCCAGGTCCCTCCTGGGCCCACCCTTTTATCCCCAGGTCCCATCTCTTTTATTTCAGGGCCCCACCCTCGTCTCTAGGCCCCGCCTCCTAGTTCTCAGATTCCGGCCCCCCATCCCAGGCCAAGGACCGGGTTGGGGCAGGGGCCTCTCTATGACAAGTGTCCCCCCCATCCCTTTAGAACGCCGGCTGTGACGGTTTGATGGGCTCGGACGCCCGCGAGGACCACTGCGGTCGCTGCGGCGGCACCAACGACTCGTGCCTCTTCGTGCAGCGCGTGTTCCGTGACACCGGTGACCTCTCGCCCCGCTCTCTCCGCTCTCCCAGAGCCGGCCCTTTAAGAAGCCGCAGGCACGGAAGTGATTCCCGTGCTGATTGGGCAATCTGCGGCACCGCCCCCTCCCGTTCCTCATTCTGATTGGCCACTGTCAGATCGTCCCGCCCTTCCTAGACAGATGTGGTTCTCACTCTTTGGATGCTTCATTTAAGCGATGATACCTAATCTGAGCTCCAAACGCTGACGGGCCGTTTGGGGGGCACTAGTACCAAGGCTAACCTCCCTAGCCTCAGTATCTCACTTAATCCTCAAAGCATCCCTCAAAAAACCCGCCCCCCGCACCGCAACAACCTCCTCCCTCCCTCCCAGGAGCCTTCGCGGGATACTGGAACGTGACTCTGATCCCCGAGGGCGCCAGGCACATCTACGCCGCCCACCGGAGCCGCAACCACCTGGGTACCTCAGAGGTCCCGAGGGGGGAGGCGCCCTCCTGGCCGCCTCGGCGAAGCCGGGAGACTGCGGCCGGAGGAGGGGCACGCAGGGTCGGGTTCCCGGGAGCCTAGGCTGACCCTTCCCTTGCAGCGCTGATTGGGGGCGACGGGCGCTACGTGCTCAACGGCAACGGGGAGATCAGCCCGTCCGGGACGTACGAGGCGGCGGGCACCCGCGTGGTCTACACCCGCGCTGCAGGGCCAGAGGAGACGCTGCGCGCGGCCGGACCCACGTCCCAGGACTTGGTCCTGCAGGTGCGTGCCGGGCCTCCAGGGGGCGGCTGGGCACCCCGTGCTGGTGGCGGCAGGAATTAAAGGACCTAGGGGAGGCTGGGCACGGGGTAGGGGAGTCAGGATGGAGAGTGAGAGTGGGGAAGCTAGGAACAGAGTCAGAGGGGGAGATTGGATTAGAGAGTCAGAGGGGCCAGGGTGTGATAGAGAACCAGAGGAGAAAGGCCAGAGGGTGGAGGCTGGGCCATCAGTTCTGATTTCGGCTCCCTAGTGTGTGGCCTTCTCCCTAGGTCCTCCTGCAGGAGCCCAATCCCGGCATTGAGTTCGAGTTCTGGCTCCCCAGGGAGCGCTATGGCCCCTTCCAGGAGCAGGCCCAGGCCCTGGGCTGGTCCCTGAGGCAGCCGCGGCCTCTGGAGGTGGAGCCCCAGTCCCTTGAGTCCCAGGAAGCCCGGCCTGCTTTCCCCACACGGACCCCAAACCCCACCCCAGGTGAGCAGGGAATAGCCAGTGTGGGGGCAAGCAGGGAGGTGGGACCTGTGTCCTAACTGCACTATCTCACAGATCCCTGCCCACCCTGCCCCGACACCCGTGGTCGTGCCCACCGGCTGCTCCACTATTGCGGCAGTGACTTTGGTGAGAGACCCTTTCCCCCAACCCTCACCTGGCCCCTAATTGACCTAAACTTGGCTACTTTCCTGTTGTCATCTGACCCTGCTTTGACTTTACTCTTGAGTTCTTGATCCGACTCCAACTTGACCCCTTCTGACCCTAATTTGACTTCTTGATTTGGCTCTTTGCTCTAATTTGACCCCTAAATCCTCAGTGATCCTGACCTGATCTTGACCCCAGTATCCGCTGCACAGTCTCTAGGTGCCCCCCCCCCATGTCCTACCTGACCCCAAGTTTCCTCATATGGCTACGGGGTGCATGAATGGGTGTCCAGATTGGACCATCCAATTGGCCTCAGCACCACCCTGCCCACAGTGTTCCGGGCTCGAGTGCTGGGCCACCTCCGCCAGGCCCAGGAGACCCGCTATGAGGTGCGTGTGCAGCTTGTCTACAAGAACCGCTCGCCACTGCAGTCCCTCGAGTATGTGTGGGCACCTGGCCGCTGCCCCTGCCCACCAATGGCCCTCCATCGAGAGTACCTGCTGGCTGCCCAGCGCCTTGTCAGCCCTGATGGCACTCAGGACCGGCTGCTGCTGCCCCATGCTGGCTACGCCCGGCCCTGGAGCCCCGCCGAGGACAGCCGTGTACGCCTGGCTGCCAGGCACTGCCCTGTCTGAGCCCCCAGACAAGGCCTCACCACACACAGCAAGAAAGACGTGCCTGACCTCTTTCCTCTCTTGCCTGGCTTCCAAGGATCTCAGAACTATCTCCCACCACAGCTATGTACCTCTCCCTCATACACACTTATACACCTTTGTGTACAGTCAGTCAGATCCACTTGCACTGTAGGCAGGCGCTGATGAGAACACACTGAATTGCTTCTTTAACTCTGATTTCTTCTCTCACCCTGACTGCCAGGAAACTCATAGCTATCTTTTACTCAAAAACTTTGTGTCTCCTTGTATTCCCCTTGCCAAACACTCACTTGCTTAGAGACACTCTCACAAGCAAGCAGTGCCCATAGGAAGACATGCCTAAGGAGACATTGTAAAGTATCACTTTCCCCTCTTGCCCTGGCCACCAGGAAGCTCATCACTGTTTAACTCCCTGAAACTGTGCTCTCTCTTCTTGCCGCCACTTACCCATACACCAAAATGTATTCAGATACAGTGCCACAAACAGACATACTCACTAGAAAACATGGCTAACTAGGCGCAGGAACATACTCATTTACCCCTTTGTGCTGACTCCCAGGAGGTTCAGAGCACCTTTTCTCTTTCAATTTTGTATTGATTTCTGGTGTACAGCTTAGTGGTTAGACAATCATATACTTACATAGTGCTCCCTTTGATATTTCCAGTACCCAATTACCATCATACATAGTTATCATATTATTAACTATATTCCCTATGGTTTACTTTATAACCCCATGACTAATCAAAGATAATTTTAACAGCCTCAGCAATTCTACAAGGGTTTCTTGCAATCCACGCTGCTGTTCACCCCTTTTATATTTCTACTTAATTTTTACAAGCAGTTTTTTAAAACAAAGGCACACTCGGCCACAGGATGCACTGGTAGTCGGATCCACACCTGTGCTCTCACAGCGTGTACACATGTGATCTCTCAAACCACATCCCCTCCACCTGTTCCATTCCCTTCCTCCCCTCAGAATGTCTGACACTTTGCGGGAGGTGAGGACAGGGAATATATGAAGTGGGGGGTGAGTATAGGGTAAACATGGCTTTTATAAGTCTCATGCCTCCTTGGAGGCCACACATTCACCTCAGGCCTCCCCAGCAAAGGAAGCAGTCAGAGCCCCTGCCCTCAGGCTATCTTCATCTCCCTGCGTCATGGATAGATTCTCTGTTTATTCTTCTGGAGCAAGAGGGCAGACACCAGTCATGTGAGAATGAGGGTGTGTGGGAGTGGGGTGGCTCAGCAAACCCTCCCCACTCTGGGTGGGGGCGCCGTCTTCTGCCTCCCCATTCTGGATGGAGTGATCCACACTGTCATTTTGGGACGATCTGCTCTTCTGTGTTTTGCCCGGTAGCATGGATACTGGCAGTGGGCAAGGGGCACACAATGTGCAGGTCTCAGAGCTGGATGGGCCTGAGGCCAGACTGTTCCGCTCTCCTGGCCTTACTTTCCCCATCTGTGAGAACCCTTTCAGCCCTGGCTCTGACCATGGGAAGCACACACTTCTGGATTCCCTCCCTAGCCCCTCAGCTCACTCATGCATTCCTCCAATGGGTATTTATTGAGTGCCTACTGTATGCCAGGGGCCCAGCAGTGCTTACACCATCCCAGGCCTGGCTCTGTCATCTGCAATGAGCGCAGAAGCTGGAGAAACCTCAGAGTTCCAACTCTCGTGGGCAAAGTGGGGTGCGGTTCTGGAGGGAGGTGTGGGGCCTGGGCGCCCACTGGTGGCAGGATGGGGTAAAGGTAGTCAAGGCACTGATTACCTGCAGTTGAAGGGCCCTATGCTTATGTATCTCCTCCACACCCGCTTCTCTCTTCTGCACTTGCCTTCCCCACCCACCAGCCTTACACCAGCTCCTACTTACGGCTTCATTCTTCCCACCATTAGCCTGAGGTTGTCCCCTCGGCCTCCATGCAGTATGGGGATATTCTGGGAATGAGAGACTCAGGCTTTAGCCCAAGTGCTCCTAATCCCCAATCACCTGGGCTGGCTGACAAGAGGCGCTTGCTCTCAGGCAGGGCGAGCACTGAGTCTCCTCCCGAGCGCCTCCGCCAGGCCGGATGGCCTGTGGCCACCGAGCAGTGACTTTCCCAGCCCCTTCACAGCTCCTCCTGCAATCATCTTGTAACACTGCCCCGTAAACATCACATGGTTTAGATTTGCTCTGTAGTTTTAAAGCAGTCTAACCACTTAAAGAGAGAAGAAAACATTGCAATTCTAAACATGTTCAAATTCAACAGCCTGGTGGTTCAGGAAGGCACTACCGTTTGTACTTTGCCGTTTTACATGGAAATCCTAATAACTCCAGGTGGTTACATAGAATGACAGAAACAAAGTGAATTGTTCTGTTTTTCCCTCTCCACAGCCCCCAGCCCCTTTTCATTAGTTACTGTGTCCCCGCAGGGATAGTCAGAGCCCCTCTGGGTTAGACGCACACGCTCCCCTGAGTGACAGCAAATGGGTACAGGCAGGACCCTCCTCTGGAAGCAGCACAGGTGGCACATCCTTGCTTGTCCAGAACTGGTTATTCTCCAAATTGACTTCCCACAGATGGTGATGTTTATTAAAAGATGAATTAAAACAGGCATGTTTGAAACTTGCATCCATATTAGTAAAATGACAGTAATTGTAATTCTTTCATTAGCCCCACAAAAGATTGTTTTCAACACTTATTTCTGAACGCCAGCTCTGGGGTCTGTCATGTTTTTCCTTTCTAATTCTCTGCAGAGGGCACCACCCCGTCATCTGCCCTTCTCTCACTGACCCTGTACCCGACGGCTGACCCGTGGGAGGACACATGTCCACTTAAAGAGCCGCAGAAAGCCCTGGGCTGTTGGAGAGCCCGCAGGCTTAGCTGTGGGCTGCAGGACCACTTTGGAAAACAGTTTGGCCATGTCTGCTACAGATGAGCAAAAACCACAGTAGCAAGTTAGATATGTCCAAGTCTCAACCCCCAGAAAATGTGAATGGGGCCTTATTTGGAAAAGAGATCTTGGCAGATATAATCAAGATCTCAAGATCATCCTGGTTTACCTGGGTGGGCACTAAACCCAATGACAAGTATCCTCATAAGAGACGTGCAGAGGAGAGACAGAGAAAAGGGCCAGATGACAATGGAGGCAGAGACTGGGGTGATGAGGCCACAAGCCAAGGGAGGCTAGAGTCCTCAGAAGCTGGAACAGGCAGGAAGGACCCTCCCTGGAGTTGCAGGAGGGAGCGTAGCCCTTTAACACTGACTTCTGGCCTCCATAATGTGAGAGACTAAATCTTTGTTGTTTCAAGCCCCCTCTCCCCACCCCCATCCAGTGTGTGGTGATTTGTTATGGTCACCCCAGAAGACTCACAGGCTTACCCTACAATCTCTGAGAAATGAGAGATGCACTCACCAAAGGTCAGTTCTAGAATGTTGCTAGCAGCTTTAGTCATAATAACCCAAAATGGGAAACTACTCAAATGCCTATCAACAGTGGAATGGGGCAAATAAATTCTGGCCTACCCACAGAATGAAATGCTATCCACCAATGAAAAAGAGCAAAGTACTGATAATTTCTTAAAATTATCAGTAAAAGACCCACAGTAGGGGTGAGTCTCAGACACAGCACTGAGTCAGATACGGAAGGACAGAGATACCGTTGAGGGTGGGGAGTGATTGGGAGGGGCCCTGTTGCCTTAGTAGCTCCGAGTCACTAGTTACACTTTTCTGTAAATTTAAAAATAAAACAAACAGTATGCTCAGTGGTTCAGTATCCACCTATGAACCAGGTTCGATTTCCGGTCAGGGCACATGCCCAGGTTACAGGCTCGATCCCCCGTAGTGGGTATGCAGAAGGCAGCCGATCCATGAGTCTCTCTTATCATGGATGTTTCTGTCTCTCTCCCTCTCCCTTCCTCTCTAAAATCAATAAAAATATATTTTAAAAAAATAAAAAATATAAAACAAGTCTGAGGGGCTAAAGGTCACTGTCTGTCTGGGGAGACAGGTGTGTATCATCCCTACCTGTACTCCCTGATGAGCTGACCGGGGCAGGGGCCAGGGACAGCCTCTGAGCACCTGTTTCACCACCTCCTGGCTCAGGGGGAGGGAATGCCAGGTGCAGAGCAAGCCCAGCACTGCCCCACCCCCAGGCCACAGGCCACAGGCCACACCACATTCTTCAAACAGCTGCGTCAGCGATAAGCAGATTCTGAGATCCCTGCCCCCAACAGCTCTATAGGCCTCTTAGCAAACCTTTGATCAGTCCCTTCCTCCCTATTGACAAACCTTACCCAAGGAAAAGCCAAAGTCCTTACCACACCCTCCAGATACCTGCATGGTCCACCCCCCTGGCTCACGTCCTCTCTCCCCCTCATTCACTCAGCTCCACACACAGGACTCCCTGTTCTCCTGCACTCTGCCAGGCGCTGCCTTTGTACCTTCATACCTTCGTAACCTTCATACTGGCTCTTCTCTCTGCCTGGACCACCCCCGTCCCAGTTCTCACACACTCATGCCCTCACCTTCTTCATGTCTTTACTGGAATGTCATGTTCATACAGGCCTTTCTCTGACCCTGACATTGCAGCCCTGGCCCCCTCAACTTCGGCTGCATTTCCCCCATGTCATTCACCTCGCTCTCTGATATTTTTTTTTTTAATTATTAAATCTTTTTTTTATTTTATCGATTTAAGGATAAGGGAGAGAGAGAGATAAATATCATCATTGTGAGAAACATGGGTCAGTTGTCTTCCATATATGCCCTCCCTGGGGATCGAACCCAAAATCTGGGTATGTGCCCTGATCAGGAATCGAACCCACAACCCTTAGATACATAGGATGATGCTCCAACCAACCGAGCCACAGGCCTCCCTCTGACGTGTTATACCTATATCATGCCAATTGTTGCCTTCCCAAACTCCCAGGAGTGGGAAATTTTTAACTGTGTCCATACTGTAACCCAGGCTCCCAGAGGAGGGATTACAACACGCGCTCACTATCCGTGTAACTAAGCACTTCCTCCTCCTTTGTCAGAGTTCTGAAGGATGAGGACTTGGGCGGTGCTTGCAGAGGGATGCCTCCTTTTTTTGGAAAAACTGTCTTGGAGTCATCACCAACTGGGAACTGCAAGGCTGGCTAAGGAGGAGCATGACATATCAAAGGATTGCAAGACTTGGTTGATGTGTTTGGGCAAAAACTGAGTGTCTTGGTCAGGGATGGTCCTGCGCCAACGCACTGGGGTCTTGGTCTTGGTTTTCGACGCCACGCATGTACCCACCCCCTAGAGCGTGACAGCTGGCGATGGCTGCAGCAGGAGGTTGGGGAGTGTGGGAGGTGGTGTGATCTGTGGGAAATGGCTGGCCAGGGGCCCTGAAATTCATGAGGACCTGAAACCGTGTAAGGCTGGAATGGGGTTGAGCAGAGTTGGCCAAGCGTAGGCCTGGGAGTCACTTTCATCCCTGGCTGGAGGGTGGTGGGGCCTGTTCGGTGGGTCTGAGGGGAACTCAACCCTGGCTGCCTTTCTGCTAAGCCTTCCTAGTGCCATTAGTTTAGCAAATGTTCGATGACCTGCTACTATGTTCCAGGAAACACAGCCCGGAACAGACAAAAATCTCAGCCGCCGTGGCGCTCACAGTCTCATGGGGGAGGTGGGCGAGAGGCAAGAGAAGTAAAACACGTCATGTAGACTTTATACAGAGCCATAAGGAAGGCTCGCTGCGAAGAAGACATTTGAGTCAGAACATGAAAGCAGTGAGGGAGTGTGTGAAGGCACAGACCCCCGGGCGCCTCTCCGTTCTGGAAGGATCTCCAGGGCCCTCCTCAGTTCGTCCCTCACCTGAGTGAGGTCCCCCAGGTCAGGTTCCACAGCCTGTGACTGTCCCTGCCCTTGCCTCTCTCAGGCCTGCCCTTCCTCATTTTTTAGGTGTCAGCTCACTCACCACCTCAGGCCTCCTTTTTTGTCACCGCTTCCTTTTCATATTTCCTGGGTACCCTCTTCTCATTTTCTGTCTCCCTGTCCTCAACTTAAATGGCTAAGATGTTCGTTTCACTCACTAATGAATACCCACCATTTAGTGTGGTGCCTCCTCTGCCACATACTAATTACTACTTTTGTGGGTTTTTTTTTAATTTAAAGAATAATAGAGACTAACTGCCAAAAAGAAAAGAAAGAAAGAAACTGTCTCCAGACATTCCCCAGCACCTTTGAGGAAAAAATTGCCCCCAGTTGAGAACCACTGAATTCCAGCATCAGAAGCACCTGCAGTGTCAGGGTTTGAGGTCATCCTGCTAACCCTTCTCCTGTATTTGCTTCGGCAGCTGTGGCCCCCTAGGATCATGGTGAAGCAGAGCTCGGATGGCAGGAGCTGAGTGGTGAAATGGGTGGCCCGATGGATTCTGTGGGGGCCCAGGTCCTCCTCAGCTGTGAAAGCAGATGCCTTTGTTACAGCTCCTTCCTCAGGCTCAGGGTGCAGCTCATTGCAGGTCCAGTTCAGGCTTCAGGCACCCCCGCTTCCACTGACACCGCCTCCTGATGCAGCTCCACTCCCATCCCACCCCCACCCCGAGCCCCAGCTTCCAGTTCAGAATCTGCCTCCAGGGATCTGAACCTTTACAGGGGGCGCTCTATACGCGTTTTATATACTGTTGGATTGGATCTGCTCTGCTTTCTTTGTTGTTTTTTTTTTTGCATCTGTATCCAGTCCTGATTTCATGAGCAGGGTCATGCTGGCCTCATAAAGGAAACCCAAGTGCAGGCTGAAGGAAGCCCCATTAATGTTCACCCAACTCCCTTCTCTCCATTTCCATGAATGCGAGCCTGTTAACTACCAGCCCCAAGGCCTCTTTGCTGCCTGCAGAGGGATGCTGGCTGAAATGAATGGCCACTGCTCCCCCTGCACCTGAAAAGAGGGTCTCAGGTGTGCACTGGACACAGGTCCCAGGCTTGGCCACACCCACTTCTTTGGCTTCTTCCCCTACCCACTTCCTACTGAAGCTTCCTGAGGTCCCCTTCCAGAAAAAAGACTTGTACTTGAATACTCATCTCTGATTCATCTCAGCTACTTGGTAAGACCATACTTCTGGGTCTGTTTCTTCTCTATAAAGTGGGGCTGCACAGCAACCTCTCCTGATTATAGATGGGAGGATCCCTTCAAAGAACACCTGGTGGGTCCCCCCACCCCATACACCCAGGACAGATGGCAAAAGGAGGCTCTGCCAGATGTACTTTATTGAGCCCTCTCCTAGCAGGATAGGTGTTTCAGGCGCCAGAGGTGCTGTAGGTACTGGAGCCAGGAGTAGTGGTGGGGCCAGGTGCAGGTGATTTCGGTGGTGGACTCTGTGGTGTACTCCAGAGGGGACTCACAAAGGTAGGAGATCGTTAGGTCGGGCACTGAGGTACTGGCTGTGGGCTGCTGGTCCTTTCCTGAGGTACTGGCTGTGGGCTGCTGGTCCTTTCCTGACGCACTGGCTGGGGGCTGCTGGTCCTTTCCTGAGGTACTGGTTGGGGGCTGCTGCTCTTTTCTTGACGCACTGGTTGGGGGCTGCTGCTCTTTTCTTGACGTACTGGTTGGGGGCTGCTGCTCTTTTCCTGAGGGACTGGTTGAGGACTGCATTGCTGACTTCTTCTGATATTTGTTGGACTTAGAGGCCTTGGGGGGCGACTCCCCTGATCTACTGGGGCCGTTGTGGGACTGCATGGAGATGATGGTACCACTGGGGTTTAGTTGCGTTAGGGACTTCTTCTGATGTTTGATGGACTTGGAGGCCTTGGGGGCCGACTCCCCTGGCCTATTGGGGCTGCTGTGGGGCTGCCCGGGGGTGGTGGTACCACCGGGGGATGGCACAGTGCTGGGGCTGGGATGCTGCGCAGAGCCTGAACCAGAGCCAGGGGACTGCTGGGCTGGCTGGGAGGGGCCCCAGGAAGTGGTGAATGGTTGAGGGTGCTGCTGGCCAGGGGTGTGGGTGAAAGAATTGGCTCTCGGCCTAGATGCTTTTGAGGAAGGCTGGACCTGGGATTTGGCAGAGCCTACAGGCCAGGAATGAGAATGGGATGGGGCCAAGGCGGTACGTGAGCCGCTTCCAGAGGTTGGCTTGCTTTGGGCTAAGGGAACAGCGGAGGTCTGTTGTGAATCAGTTGAGGAATTCGTAGAGGACCTGGTGTCTTTTTGCTGGCCGGCCAGCGTATCTGCACGGGGGCTGGGTGGGGACTTCACTGGTCCTTCTGGAGTTGAGACATGCTTGCTTGGGCTGCGGAGAGAGGACCATGGGGGTAAGGTAGGTCTGATCTAGCTCTCAGATTCTGGGGCTGTGCTCAGCTGCTAGAGAGTGGGATGGAGGCTTCTGGGGACCAAGGTAGGATCAATAGCCATCGTTGGCAAGGATAGTCATCTGCACATATTCACACGTATGCAGGTACACGTGCAAACAATCACACACATAAATGAACTCATACAATGCACAAACCAACCCACTGTCATACACACACACACATGCATGCATGCACTCACACCTGCACATATGCATGCATACACATATAAAACTTACTTCCTAGGGGTGGGGGTTACCTAAGGTTGGCTCCAGTAGCAGCGGGGGGCCCACCACCATTGCTGTTGGGGTGACGAGAGCCCGGCTTCGGGCCAGAGTCTGAAGGACTGGTTTCCGAAAGCATAGGAGAGAAAGGCAGACAGTGAGAGGGGAAGCCAGAGCACCTGAGGCCAACGGCCAAGATGCCAGATGGAGACCAGTCAGAGTCAGGAGGAGAGGAGGCAGGAGCGAAGGTAAGCAGGGGTGGGTAGGCTGAAAGATAGACAGACCCAAACTGGGACAAACTAACTCCCCCATGCCCTAAAAGCACACACCGTCCCGAGTTATTCCTGTTGCTACGTCCAGGGCTCGCCCGCTGAGATCTCTCATGATGTTGTCCACGGCCTCGTGATGCTTTAGAAACAGTGGACGTATGACTTGACGATACAGCATGTGAGCCCCATTCCACGGTCCGGGAATCATGCAGAACAACAGGAAGGCGCACTGCGGGCATGGACGGCAGTTACGCTCAGCCTGGATCTGTGCCCTGGGAGGAGGGCTTGGACTTCTTCCGTCAGACACTGAGCTAATGTGGACCTAGGCCACCCCCAACTGACACCCCTTAGGATTCGTCTGGCTACCCTCATCAGACGACCTTTTGGATGGGCTTGGGCTGACCCATCAGATACTCCCCTGGCTGGGCCTGTTTCCACAGGGAAGGGGCTGAGTCTCCCCCGACACCCCGGGGAGGCAGCAGGGCGGGCTTCTCAAACCGTCTCTGGTTGCCTGCCTGCTCCCAGGCGATCCCCTCCCGTGTGTGTTCCAGTGGTGCGTACCTTTCCCACGTAGTAGAAAGGGAACCAGGACAGGAGTAGATCGCTGAAGAACTCGGCAAGCCCGAATAGGCTGTACACCACCCAGTAGGTGAGCCACACAGTGTCGTCGTCTTTGCTTGGACTCTCGATAGCTTTTATCCTGGGGAGAGGTGCGGCAGGATCAGGGGCTGCCTGGAGCCCCTCATGCTCCCCACCTGGACAGCCCGGGGCACTCACGATGCATATGCGGGGTACACAAAGCCGATGAGGTTGCATAGTAGAGGTGCCCCGTAACCGAACAGAAGATACAGGCTTAGCAGAGTGGTGGCTCCTGCAGAAAAGAGGGCATGGGCCGGGGCCTGGCTCACTCCCCACCCAGTCCGCAGGCTCCCAGCCTCCTCTTGGCCTGGCAGATGCACCCCACAGAGTTGTCATTCCTCCCGCAAGCTTTGGTGACCCCTCCAGGGCGTGCTAGTCTCCACACAGCACCCGGACGACCCCCACCAGGTCTCTGACTACCGAGTCTTATGCCTGTAATTAGTTAACATATCTATCTCCCCTATTGTACTGTGAGCTCCCCAAAGGCAGGCAGGGTCCTCGGCCCTGGTGGATTCAGAGTAGCTGCCCAATAAACACTTGCTGAATAAGGAATCATCTGTAATTATAACCACCTCACCCTGGGCCCTATAAGAGAAAGAACTAGAACCGAGGCCATTCTATCATTAAAACGTGATTACTGGTGAGCAGACAAAGGCAGAGGCAATTTAAAATTTCATCTTAGGCTGACAGGTTTGGCTCAGTGGATAGAGCGTCGGCCTGCGGACTGAAGGGACCCAGGTTCGATTCCAGTCAAGGGCATGTGCCTTGGTTGCGGGCACATCCCCAGTTGGGGGTGTGGAAGAGGCAGCTGGTCAACATTTCTCTCTCATCTATGTTCCTAACTCTCTGTCCCTCTCAATTCCTCTCTGTGTAAAATCAATAAAATATATTAATAAATCAATAAATAAATAAATAAATAAATAAATAAATAAATAAAATAAAATTTCATCTTAGGCTGACAGGTTTGGCTCAGTGGATAGAGCGTCGGCCTGCTGACTGAAGGGACCCAGGTTCGATTCCGGTCAAGGGCATGTGCCTTGGTTGCAGGCACATCCCTAGTAGGGGGTGTGCAAGAGGCAGCTGATTGATGATTCTCTCTCATCGATGTTTTTAACTCTATTCCCTCTCTCTTCTTCACTGTAAAAAAATCAATGAAATATATATTTAAAAAAAAGTTTTTCATCTTAGGCCTGGTCAGTGTGGCTCAGTGGTTGAGCATCGACCCATGCACCAAGAGGTTGCCAGTTGCAGGCCTGGGTTGCAGCCTCGATCCCCGGTGGAGGGCATGCAGGAGGCAGCTGATCAATGATTCTGTATCTCCCTATCCTGCTCTCTTTAAAACCAATAAAAATATATTTTTTAAAATGTCATCTTAGTGTGGGGTTTCTTAGTCTGGGTTGACATCTGGGCCAGGTCATCCTCTGTATAGGGCTGGATCCCACCCACCCTGCCAGGAGCAGGCCGCCATGACACCACAGTTGTCCCCAGACACCGCCTCGTGTCCTAACAGGGGCAGTACGGCCCATTTGAGACCCCCCTTGTCTTAGGCAGCAAAGGGCAGTACGGAGCCTCTTCGATCTTGGAGAGCCCTCTGTTCTTCCACTCACTTGCCATGTGACACTGAGAAAGTCTCTCTCTTCTTGAAGACTCAGTTTCACCATCTGTCAATGGGGCATAGTGACCCTGCCTCCTGGGGTTGTTATAGATTAGCTAAATACACTCATCAGAGAGGACTTATGCTCTCCATACATTACTGAGGGACTTCTGGTCACAAAAACACACCCAGCAAAGAGGCTCAGAAGAGAACAGTGTGGGAATATGGGGAGCCACTCTGAAAACCATTATTGTAACACTCATATCTAAGTGCTACTTGTGTGCTTCTCTGTTCTGTCTCACGCAATGACAAGACCTAAACAAAAGCTGCCAGGGAAAGGGGCTTGCCCAGGGTCACTGAGGAGCATTTACAGCTTCCCACGTCCTTCACAGAGGCTACCTTCTGGACCAAAGGGCAGTCACCCATACACTTCCCTCCACCTGCCTTGGTTTTTATCCCAGGCCTGGTGTCAGAAGTGGAGCAACTCCTCCCCAGCTGGCTCCTCCGGCTTTCCTCCTGTTACCTGGCAGAGGGTATTTGGCCATCTGGGGCATGTGGAGCCCAAGGGTTCCCACATCTGGGCAAGGGGCTGGGGGAATGTCACCTCTTCCTCAGAAACGGCTGTTCAGAGAGCAACGGCTTTCCCAGGGCACCCAACCCTCAATCCCTATTCCTGTAGCCTCAGCAATAGGAGGATGATCTTGTATATGGGTTGGGAGGAGGGGGGAGGGGGGCATGGCCTGAGATCAACAACAGATGGGGCCCAGGGGGTGAGGAGCGGTGAATACTCCACACAGGGCAGGTGGCAGGGGCATCCTCCCACATAGCCCTTGCCTTTTTGGGCCTTAGTTTCCTTCCTTTAACTATCAGCCTCCCTAGTGGCCTCTTCCCAGTGGGCCCCTCCCCAGTTCTCTATGACCTAAATTCCCCAACCACTGGTACCAAGATGTGGAAAGCCAAGCTTGCTCAAATGGGCAGGTCCCTGGCTAAGCAGACATACTTGGGCAATGGGAACCTGGGGAACAAATTTCAGACCCTCAGGGCTCCCTGGCCTGGTGGGAAAATGGGAGGTAAGTGGACTCCAGCTTCTGCACATAGAAGGTTCTCAGAACACCTGGCACTGTCTGCACACAGAACATGCTCCTGCCCCCACCAGCATCCTTGTGACTTATTCCAGGAAGTCTTCCTAGAAGTGGGCATGCGCCTGAATACCACAAAAGAGGGAAGGAAGGCATTTAACCATTTACTAACTAGACAGTTTCTGAGAGTGGAAGGGGTCACCCGAGGTTATTGAAGAGGAAAGAAAGTGGAAGGACTTGCCGAAACCGGCTCAGTGGATAGAGCATCGGTCTGCGGACTGAAAGGACCCACGTTCAATTCCGGTCAAGGGCATGTATCTTGATTGCGGGCACATCCCCGGTAGGGGGTGTGCCAGAGGCAGCTGGTCGATGTCTCTCTCTCATCGACGTTTCTAGCTCTCTATCTCTCTCCCTTCCTTCTGTAAAAAATCAATAAAATATATTTTTAGAAAAAGAAAGTGGAAGGACTAGAATGGTAGTTATAGTCAAGGGTGGCTGGAGCCCCTTAGTCCTGGTTTTCTATCCAATCTTTTCTCTAACCCCACCATAGCTGTCAAACAACCCAACTCCACCTCAACTATTCATGCACAGTAGGCCAGGTGAGAGGAGAGGGCATGCCAAGAGGGGAAACAATGGGAGAGTAGGTGGGAATGACCCTCCCTCTTGGCAGGAAGTATCCCCTCTAAAAAGACAAGATCTCTACGTTTGCTTTCAGGCTGGGGGTCATCTGGGCAGGAGGTGAAGACTCAGGGCACTGGCGCCTATCTGCCCCCTCCTCCCCTCTCCTACCCTTGGGGCCTGCAGGGCAACTGGAAGAACCGGACTTTGGCCTGGCGGGCACCCAGAGCTCCAAGGGATGGGGCAAAGGACGGCCTCTAGACGTGCGGACCAGAGTAGGGTTGCTGCAGGGGCCCAGATAAGGGGTGACCTTCGTCCAAGATGGCACGGCGAGGGTAGGGGAGGGTCTGCGGGTTCACCCAGGACCTCTCCCCAGCCAGGATCTGAGCCCCTCCATAAGGCCCGAACCCTGCCGCTGGGGCAGGCTCCGGATGTGGGGCAGACTAAGGCCCAGGTGCCCCAGTGCCTCAGTATGCAGGTCGGTGAAATGGGGCGACAGCTCCGAGCGCCCTCGGACGGCTCACCTGCTGCCAAGTACCGCTTGTCGACACCGGTCTTGGCTTCGACTGCCCTTAGTACCTCGGTGGCCAAGTTCCGCTGTTCCAGAAGACGCTCGAAGCGCTGGCGCAGGCCGTCCATGGCTACGGCGGGACCGGGTTTGGCAGCCCGAGCTCGATCTCGGCGCTGCGCACCGGTCCCGCCAGGCACGCGCCGCCTTCTCCTGAAGAGAGTCGCACCGTTCTGCTCGCTGGCTGGTCTTTGCTTCCAGTTTGGTCCCCGCCCCCTGCCCGACGCACCGGCCAATGGGAGGGCAGGGAGGGCAGGGCGGGCAAAAGAGCTGGGGCCTGCCCCCTCTCCCCCGCCTCATTGCCCTCTGGCGGCGGTGGCCGCCGCAGGCGCCACCCACAGCAAGGAAGGGGGCGGGGCGCAGAGGCCTAGGTCGCCGATTGGTCGAGGGGGAGCGGGACGTAGCTGATTGGAGGGGCGGGTCTCGGCCGGGGATTATTGGCTGAGCGGTGGTGTAAGTGGAGCTGGGGGGGGGGGGAAACAGGGTTGGTGGGAGGGGCCTGAGAAAGACCAGAGTTGATTGGAGAAACGGTAAAGAATTTATTAGCAAGAACAGAGGAGGGGCGGGGCATATTATAAAGACGGCGGGAAGGAATCTGAGGGGCGGTTTGGGGGCGGAGCTATATTGAAAAAGTGAAGCTCACTGTAAATCTGGTTGGACGGGAGAGGAGGCAGGGCTGATTCTAGGGAGGGGTGTGTAGGAAGGGGTGCGGCTAAGTAACAGGGCGGGGTCAGCCGTAACAATAGTGAACTCCTCAGGGTCAGAAGAATTGGGTCACTGTACAAATAGGGAGACTGGGGTTCCAAAGGGTTTGGGACTGTGTGTGTCCGCCCTCCCATTTCTGTCGGGGCTTCGTGCCTCCAAAGGGGTGACGCAAAGACCCCTGGGAGTTGAAGTTTTTCAAGGGTTGCTATGGTGCGGGGGCGGGGCGGGCGCTGGGGCCAGCGCGGCGGTTTGGCCGGGGGGCGGGGCTTTTGGAGGTCCGCCCCCGCCCCCGCCGCCATGCGGCCCACCGGGACTACTCTCTGGCTGCGCCTGGCCTTGTCCCTGGGCTTGGCCCTCGTTTGCCCCGCGTCTGTAGGGTTGGTTTCGGCCCGGGCCCCCATCTATGTCAGCAGCTGGGCCGTGCGGGTGTCTGAGGGATACGGGGAAGCTGAGCGCCTGGCACGCAGATTCGGTTTCGTCAACTTGGGGCTGGTGGGTGGGACCCGGATGGACTGGAGGGGGCGAGACTGGGCTACCCAAAACACTAGGCCCCGACAGATGACAGATGGGAAGGTGTCTCTCAGGTCCCCTAGATTCGAAGAACTCCCAACCAACCCTTACTTCAGTTTCAAGGACCCTCAGTGGGCACATGGAGCTCACACCAGGGCATCTGGTTGGGGGAGGATGCAAACAAGGGGCATCCTGCAGGGCATCAGGGAAGCCGGATCCTAGCTATGAGGCTGCTCCCCCACATTCCCAGATCTTCCCTGATGGGCAGTACTTCCACCTGCGGCACAGGGGTGTGGTCCAGCAGTCCCTGACCCCACACTGGGGCCATCGCCTGCGCCTGAAGAAAGACCCCAAGGTGAGCCTGGCCTTGAGGCTGCCCCCTCAGGGTCTTAGACACCCCCTGTTATTCTTGTGATTGTTATGAATGGCTGTGATCTTTGGCAACTCACCTGCTCCCTCTGGTCTTGGTTTCCTTTCACCTGGCCCTCCAGTCTATACAGTGAGGACCCAGATAGGGAAGATCTGTGCATGTGCGTGATGCACATTCCAGGGCCTGGCACACTATCAGCATTTCTTATCAACCACCCCCCTTACCTCCTCTATTTTGACCTGAATGATTAAGATTCCCAGGTATCCCATAAAGAGGGTGGGAATTGGCCCATTGTGTGATGAAAGAAGCAGTTCCAAAGAGGAAAATGCTGCCTGAAGTCACCCAAAGAGACTGGCTGAATTGGGACCAGAACCCCGTCCCTAGATGCTCAGAGAGATGACGAGGGAAAGATATTAAGATGGAGCCACAAATGGGTATGAACTGGGCTTGGGGGCTGATCCATAAGGAGACAAGAGGCCAACTGTTCAAAACTTGCCGGGAGCATTGGCAGCAAAGAGAACTGGCCAGTTGGAGATGTGGTTTGCAAGAGAGAAGCCAGGGCTTGCCGATGGATCAGGTGCATGGGACAGTTCCCAAGACTGGAGCAGAGCAAATGGGGAGATGATGGCCCTCATTGCTGAAATGGGAGCAGAGGGACATGAGTTGGTTTTGGGGGAAAGGGGTGGGGAGATCAACAAGGAAGGAGGAAGAGCAAAGATCTGAGAATGAGCAGCCCAGTCAGGCAGAACAACGTGTGCAAAGGCCCTGAGTGAGGCAGCCACTGTGACAGCAGCAGAGGGAGGCTTGTGAGGGCCAGAAAGGCAGGGCCTTGTGGGCCCAGAGTGAGTGGTGGGAAGCCCTGGGAGGGTTCCAACAAAGAGTAAGGCTGCTGTCTGTTGAAAATGAGTTATAGAAGAAGAGTGGAAGGGGCTCTTAGAGCCGTGGTCGGCAAACTGCGGCTCGAGAGCACATGCGGCTCTTTGGCCCCTTGAGTGTGGCTCTTCCACAAAATACCACGGCCTGGGCGAGTCTGTTTTGAAGAAGTGGCGTTAGAAGAAGTTTAAATTGAAAAAATTTGGCTCTCAAAAGAAATGTCAATCGTTGGGCTGTTGATATTTGGCTCTGATGACTAATGAGTTTGCCGACCGCTGTGTTAGAGGAACAGGAGGTAGTAGAGAGCAATGGCCACAGCAAGGGGGAGGTGGGCCGGTCTTGGGCAGAGGGATCTAGAACAGGGATGGGGGACAGAGTTGGGACCCCAGGACTCCATGCCACCTCAGGCAGTAACCAATTATGTGTGGGCCCTGGGGATAGGTGCTCCAAGTGTCTTGGCACCCTCTGAGGGCAAAACTCCAGGCACATAGGGACCTAGAAGAGCAGCCCGAGAAAACACAGGGTCCCAGGACTGGCCCACACCACAAGCCGTAGACAACACAGACACACATTCCACTAAAAACACAGCCTCACAGACAGTTGTCCCTTGTTGAACCCTGGGAAGAGGCCTACGCAGACCCTGGACACAGGCTTGGGCCCTTTGACCAAGTGTTGGCCAAAAGGGCTCAGAGGAGCAGGTCTTCGTTTGTGGAACATGGCCCTCTGAAAGTGCAGGATAGCCCAGCTGGTGTGGCTTAGGGGTTGAGCATCAAACTATGAACCAGAAGGTCACAGTTCAATTCCTGGTCATCGGTACCCAATGGGGGGCCATGCAGGAGGCAGCTGATCAATGATTCTCATCATTGGTGTTTCTATCTTTCTCTACCTCTCCCTTCCTCTCTGAAATCAATAAAAATATATTTTAAAAATAGTAAAGTGCAGGATAGCTGGGAGGAGGGTGGGCTAGGCTTGTTGATCCAGCCCGTTCCCTTGCTGCATGTCCCCCTCAGGTGCAGTGGTTTGAGCAGCAGACTCTGCAGTGGCGTGTGAAGCGCTCCTTAGTGGCACCCACAGACCCCTGGTTCTCCAAGCAGTGGTACATGGTGAGCGGCTGGGCCAGGTGGTCGGGCCAGGCCAGGCCAGAGCCTTGCTAACTCTAACTCACCTGGCATAGAACAACAAGATGCAGCCGGATCTAAACATCCTGCAAGTCTGGAACCAGGGGCTGTCAGGCCAGGGCATCGTGGTCTCTGTCCTGGACGATGGCATTGAGAAGGACCACCCAGACCTCTGGGCCAACTATGTGAGCCTGAGTTGAACTGGGACAGGGGCTGCCCTCGTCCCCAGTCCCATGGCCTGCTCCAACCCCTCCCATCCCCACCTTACCCCTAGGATCCCTTGGCCAGCTATGACTTCAACGACTATGACCCAGACCCCCAACCACGATACACTACCAGTGATGAGAACCGGTGAGCCTGGCATGCTACAGGGGCCTGGGGGTGGCCCTTGTGTGAGGGCCAGGTGAGCTGTGACGGGCACTCCTCTCTGCCCTGACACCAGGCACGGGACCCGCTGTGCTGGGGAAGTGGCAGCCATAGCTAACAACAGGTTCTGTGGTACAGGCGTCGCCTACAATGCCCGAATTGGAGGTATTCCGATGCGCCCAGGAGAGGGGCTGGATGTGGTGGCACTGGGTGGCTGGTAACACCAGGGAGATTTGGCAGATCGACCAGGGGAGGAAACTTCTTGGTGCCTTTGCCTTTGTTGCTTAGACTCAGGGTGTGGAGAGCTGAGCCTGCACAGATGCCTCCACTCCCCAGGAGCGGAGAGAGGGGCTGGCTAGGGTGTTTGGAGCTGGCCTGGATAGGTGAGGGTGCCGGCAGGGCTGTCTGCAGAGATCCGACAGCTGCCTGTGCAGGCGTGCGCATGCTGGATGGCACCATTACTGATGTCATTGAGGCCCAGTCACTGAGCCTGCAGCCGCAGCACATCCACATCTACAGTGCCAGCTGGGGCCCCGAGGACGATGGCCGAACGGTGGATGGTCCAGGCATCCTCACCCGAGAAGCTTTCAGGCGTGGCGTCACCAAGGTGAGCAGGAGCTAGGGTTTGGGAGGGCCTGTGCCTGCATGAAAGGCTGACATCCCTATCCCCTGTCCTGTCGCCATCTGCAGGGCCGAGGTGGGCTAGGCACGCTCTTCATCTGGGCGTCTGGCAATGGTGGCCTGCGCTATGACAACTGCAACTGCGATGGCTACACCAACAGCATCCACACTCTCTCTGTGGGCAGTACCACCCAGCAGGGTCACGTGCCTTGGTACAGTGAAGCCTGCGCCTCCACTCTCACCACCACCTACAGCAGTGGCGTTATCACCGACCCCAAAATTGTGAGTGGACCCTTTCACCATGCTCACTCTGCCTGGCCCAGCCTGGTCCCCCCACCTTCCCTCTTGTCTCCCTCCCCACCTTCCCTCCAGTCCCTATGTCTTCCCTCCTATCCTCCCAACTTCCCTGCCTTCCCTCCATTCCCTCACCTCTCCTGTTCCCCAACCTTCCTGTGTCCTCACTTCCCTCCCATGTCCCCATCTTCCTTCCTTTCTCCCCATTCTTTCC